GAATAAATGAATAAATGAATAAATGAATAAATGAATAAATGAATAAATGAATAAATGAATAAATGAATATGTAAATAATTGAATAAATAATAATAATAATAATAATAATAACATGTATCTAAATAATTATTTATAATTACGCAGTGTCAAGGCCAAGAATAGCGCAGGAACTTACTGTAGAGATAGGGCCTGTCATTTTCGCTCGTCTGAACTGGATACAAAGCGTTGAGCGCGGGTGAATCGGGCCTGATCGGCCGGCCGCCGATCGGAGGCAGATGCGAGTTGGCATTTTGCAGCTCCGGGGGCGCCAAACTGTTGATGTCTTGGTATGATGAGGTGAGCATCACCTTCTGCAGGCCATCTTGGGCCTGAGATCGGTCCTTTGCAGGTGCCGGATGCAGCGCTTCGCTGCTTTGGTGCATGTGAGGACTCTGACGTTGGGTAAAATTGGCATGCTCCGACGGGCCACACAAATAGACCGGATTGCTCCAGGAGCTCAGACTCGAGGCAGACAGCTGATTGGCAGTGCTGGTGGTTGTGATTTTGATCCCCTCCTGCCCCGTAAACAGGCTGTCTCGTCCGTCTGGCGGCTCCGAGACGAGACCGAGTCCCGCCTGCTCCGATCCCGCCAGGCTGGGCTTCGAGCCGGGCGACGTGGACGAAGCCATCGCGTGTGTGGCGCTGGTCAAGAGTCCGTCTAGGCCTTGGAGGCGATCACTTTTGTGGCCCGGCAGACTGGTCGAGTCACGCTGAAAAGCTGGAGTCCGTTGGTTATCAGTGTTTGTGTGCGTGTGTGCGTATTGAACATTTATAATGGTTTAGCAGACCGTATCAATTGGATGGTAAAAATCATAAAGTTTACATACTTTTCGTGTGATTGAAAAGATGCCTAAATTGACTATGCCGGATACCGAAGCAAGCTTGTCTTCGAAGTGCATTTGTAGAGTTGGGCAAAATAGTTATTGGTCTTTGAACACCATCAATCCATGCAGGGATGGCATATGAAAGAGGACGGAGTATGTCTAAATAGTTAACCTTTGTTACATTTCTTTTCCATTCAAGAGTTTATATAAAATTAATGCTTATTTAGCAATAAAATTTAAAGTGACTTTTTGAGGGCCAGTTTACCATTATTCATACGAGAAACTATACGAGATCCTAAGTATGAAGACCAAGATGGTGTGACCTTTTTTGTGGTCGCAGTCTCCTTTCGTTGGATAGAGGTTGTTTGATCTTGTTTTCGCAACTCGGTCATGTTGTTAGGAAGACTTAGAAGAACACACCTTGTCCGGAGTCCATTGTATTTCCAAAGTCGGACGTGGTACATTAACAGACGTTTTGCCGGATTCGTAGTCGGCATCGTCAGTGAGTATCGCCATTCTTAGCACCACACAACAACTCTCTCTTTGACGAGTTGTTGTATGGTGCTAAGTATGGCGGGACTTACTGACGATGCCGGCGAAACGTTTGGGAATGTACCACGTTTACGGTTCCTACCAATATGACCATGTTGCGAAAACAAGGTCAAACAACCTCTATACGAGATCCTCTCTAATTTAGAGCAAAAGTTTATAAGAACACTGTTTTTTTCCAAAATTTTGGTTCAGTGATGCCCTGAAATTATGCTTTTGTTCAAAAACTGAGAAAAACGATCTTTGAGCTCACTTACATTCGGAAGATATTCTAAGATAGATCCCACCAGAAGAAGATAGTGGCTTTACTTGAAAACTCTTGCTGATACTGTTTCCGGTGAAAAGGTGCTAAGCTTTCGTCCGTCATGTGACGGACATCTTCAGTGCGAGGTAACATCGTCACAACAAAATTGAAGCTACCGAGTCAAGAAAACTCACCGGCAAATCCCCAAAAAGTGTTATATATACTCTACATCTGGCCTCTTTAGTCAAGTATAAAGTGATTTGGTTAGTTGCGGTCGTATGTCAACTTCGATGCATGTAAGTGTGTCTTGACTCGTTAGCTTGAATTTTGTTGTGACGATGTTGCCTCGCACTGATGATGTCCGTCATATGACACTGGACACGAAAGCTTAGCACCTTTTCAACGGAATCGAAGGAGATTGCCTCGGAAACAGCGTCAGCAAGAATCTTCCCGTAAAGCCAATCGACAGCTGGTCACGAGGAATCGGCCGTCGTCTTCTGGTGAAACCGACCTTCGAATATATTCACGCAACACTTTCACTCGAAATGGAAGTAAGCTTAACAATTATGAAACAAGAGATTCCTCGAAACCC